GCTCTGCAAATTCTATTATGAGGTTTCAGTATGTTATTAAGCCCAGTTTGCCAAGAAGGGCAAAACTTTGGGGAGAGAACAGAGTTTTGTCCATCTGTCCTTGTAAATTGAATATCTTGAGAACGATAAGAGATAGAGACCTGAAACTTCACAGATATATGTAGAAATGGTTGCTGAACAATTGTTATTAAGTGACTAAAGGTTGTATAAATTGAGAAAAAGTAAAAAATATTTTGGACGAAATTTTGTGTACAAGTGATAAGCAGAAAGAGTTTTTTTTCAAAATACTTTTTTAAAAACAACAGATCCATATATTCTTATTAAAATTATCATATACTTTGATATTATACAATTTTCTAATACTCTTATCTTTCAAATCAAATCTAAATACTATCAATCTTATTTGCTACAAGCTGTATAATATATTACTAAAAATTTCAAATTTCAATAATCTCTTCTTTCCACAATTCAAAATACCAATATATCTGATTTTTTATTTTTTACTAAATAAACTTGCTACTTTCTATTAAACTCAATATCAAAAAACTTCAAACTCTTTATTTCTTATTGAACACAATATTTTTAACAAATATTTCTTTATTTTTAAAACAACAAATCTTTATATACTTTTATTTACTAAACAATAAACTTCAATTTAAATAATACTATCACTATAGTTAAAATTTAACAAAAATTTTTTATTACCTTTTATTTATATTATATTATGTAACAAACTTACTTTTACTATTTTATTATTTTTATTATTTTTATTATTTTATCTATATCTATAATATATTAATATAAATAATTAACTTTACATTATTAGATTCAAACAAATTACCTTTTATCTATACTTTATAGATCCTTTATAAAATACTTGTACAATCTAGGTTAAAACTTATCTAGATTTGTATAAGTATAAACAAATCTAGATAAGCTTTAACTATTTTAGTAGATTTAGGTTGCAAATAAATTAGAATTAATAGTTTCTGACAGTTTGAGTCTCATTTTTGTAAAAATTTTTGTAACTTGACTCCAGCTAGAGGAACCTCTAGTAGATTTTTAATACAAAATATTAATAAAAATAAAGACAAAACCTTATTTTTTTAAAAAAATAACATTGTGATTATATAATTTTTTTTTATAAATACTGTATAGTTCTAAAAATAAGTACCTCTTTTTTGCATCTAATACCAGCCAAGACCATCATAATGTAGGCCAAAATTGGTTTAGTGCAGGCCAGAATGCTTATTTTTAGAAGGTGCTTATTTTCAGAACTATATAATAAATTGTCAATAATTTTTTAAAAATAATGCTTATAAAGAGGTGTAACTATATAGGAGATAATTATAGAGGGGGATGACTTTATGTGTATATAAACACATATATATTGGAATTCTTTTAATATTGCTAATTTATTTTTATTCTCTGCAGTAATATTGTCACATATATATGCAAGATTTTGTACACAGCTGCCTGTAATTTATACTAAATTTTATGTATAAATTTTAAAACCTAATATACCATAATCATATTTAGAAGCAACTTTGAATCAAAAACCTACTAATTTTTAAGTAAATAATATTGTGTTTGCTATAATAATGTTTTTGACTCAAGTTGAACAGATTTATAACAAAGTTTATTATAACAAAATTTTTCTATCTAAAATCTTTGATGGGGTAAAATGCGCATGATTGGAATCATGCGCATAAATGCGTATAAATCCCAATCATATGCACGCATGAAACCATTTCTAGTTATATAGTTACGGTATACTTAAAATTTTCACCTTCTAAGTAAGGTACCTCTAGGTGTGAGATTATTTGAGATTATTTTGCATAGTAACTGTTGGCACTTCTTCGAAATCAGAGGCAGGTTTAATTTTTATTTTTTACTTGTGAAATGTTACATTCTTAAAAAGTACTATGAAATATAAAAATACAATCGTAAATGATTGACCAATCAGAAGAATGTTACCTATATTACTCATCTAGGGTTAGAACATTGTGTCATGAAAATTATTCGATTGCTACATCCAGTCAGAATCCAGATTTTGTGGACGAACGAAAACTCGAATTGAACCATACATTCAGTTTCACAATGTTCCTGCTAAAATTATTAATGATCATCAATTCTACAATTGTAGAATTATCAACCGAACGTAGAATCAATTCTACACGTGCAGATTAATTCTACTAATTGTTCATTGAGACAATGCGGAAATGCCACAACTAGAGACACCAGAATATGCAATTTGAAACGCATTTTGGTGTGATGTGATAAATTCAAATTGTGCGATAATTATGTAAAGAACCCCATACATATTTATATTGTTATTAAATTCAATTATCACTATACAACGTGACAATTATTATTTAAAGACATTTAACATCAATATCATAACAATTACAACAAAAGGCGGCCGTGATATAATGATAATTACGTATAGTGCAAATATTAATCGCTTAAAATGCATCGCATAATGCGACATAAAACACCTAAATTTAGTAAAAATAAATCGCATTTTATGTGTTTATTATGTGATTGCATCTGTCTTGTGTCTCTAGCCACAACCAATTAATCTTGTAAATTAATTTTGTGCCAACTATAAATATACAGTGTCCTCTCATAAATCACACAGTTGGTCATATAGTGAATTTTTAATTTCTTAAAAATTAAATCATAATTTGGCTTAATTGTAAACGTGATTACATATGAAGTGATTATAAGTTGTGACTATATGGAGGAGGACGACTGTATTATTGATAGAATTGAATAATAGTTAAGAATGCCAATTAATTATGATACATTATCAATAACACTTTTAAGTCACTAAGTTAATAAGTATAGGACTTATCTAATTGTTAGATACATAATGAAAGAATAATTAATGTCTCAATATGAATTATTATAAAAAAAATCAAGAGAACAATCTAGGGAGAGAGCGATAAAAGAATGACTATTAGTTGGGCAGAGGTGGGAGAGAAAATTGATATCTTAATATGGATTAATATAAAAAAAGCAGAGAGAGAACGTTATAAAGAGAGAGCAATAAAAAGAAGGATCGTTAATTGTAGTAGAGGAGGTGAATACTTTAGTATGAAGAGGATAAAGAAAATCTACTTTAATATTTCCTCTATTAGACTTGGCAATAATCATCCCATTAGATTGAATTGAAGAATTTGTGGACTTCTTTGTTCCTTTTAAGGTATTTCCAGAATAAGATGAACCTAAATTATTATTAGCACTTACATGACCAGATTTTGAGAAGATTTCATATTCGCCAGCGAACGTATCATTCTGTTTAAAATTTTAAAATAAAATATCTGGACTATAAATTTATTAGATAATCAAGTTAAATGATAAATTTGTTATACACACCAAATTCAATGATATTGAGCCACTCTCAGATTCTAAATCGATATAAGGCTGTGAATTATTTTTTCCGACAGCGATATTAACTCCAATATTACCATTATAACCTAATGCAATAAAAGTATCGCCAAGTTCCTTCACATCACCAATAATTTGAGATTTTCCGGATGCGCTTATTTCCATAAAATGGATTGAAGTATTCTTAAATTTAATTAAAGGAAAATTATTTAAACGTTAACAATTTATTAAAAATAAAATTTCAAGTGTATGATTTCTAAAATTACCTGCAAAGTAATATACGCGTCATGTGAAATTAAACTTAGATTACTTGGAGTGTAGGGCAAATTATTTAATGCCAAGGTAACATTAAAAGTGGACGCGTCAAATTTAATGGATCGATTTGGTTGATTATCAAAAAAGGGTGGAAATAATATTTCCACTTTGGCTCTACCACACCGTTGAGACCGCCAAAATGAGTCAGAACCAGATATCTATGTAAATAAATTATTTAAAATATAATTCTATAAATTTTATATTTATGTAATTCAATACGTACAAGATGGAGTTTACGTGTCATTCCTTCTTGTTTCAAATAATAATTTGATCCATCAGCCATAGAAACAATTACAAAAGATAATACAATATTGGTGTTATTATTTGGATTGGATTTAAAAATCAAATCTCTGGCCTATAATTATTAAACCTGTTAGAAAGTCAACTATCCAAAAATAAAAAACAAAAGAATATTATATTCCTCCGATAATAAGCGCTCCTTTTTTGCACATAATGTTGGCCAAGATAGTTGTAATTCAGGACAAAATTTTGAATAGTGCGGGCCAGGGGTGCCTATTCTCGAGGAATTCGATAATATATTCTCATAGCTTACATCGAATCTGCCTTCATATGTCAATTGAAAATTTGAAAGCATATCCGGACTAAACTCAAGCTCAATAGGATTATGATTATCTATGTCAAGAGACCTGCATAATTGACTATCCGGTGGTGAAAAATACTCTATCTATTTATGAAGCAAAATTCCTTATAAGTTATATATTGTATAAAAATATTTTTTTTTGTTTAATAATATCTTAATATACATACGGGAAATATAATAACGCAGTAAACGATTATAAAATAAATTCCAAAGTAAACACTATATATAATTAGAATTGCAAATGTATATCCAGTCCAGATCATTACATACTCCAGCCAAGGTAAAACAGTATCTAATCGAGTTTTCGAATTAGTTATATCAGATTAACGGTTTTAAACACCAGGAAAACATACCCCAAATGAAATATAATATTATATGGCCATTGCGAAGAAGACTTAATCTTATTCTTTTCATGTCACTATCTATTACATTTGGCATAGGTTCATCTCCATTTTCCATTATTGATATTAGATGATTATAAGTCGTACTCGTTTTAGTGAGCACTCAATACGTAATTTATTGAATTTATATAAAAATCCACTTGATATAGTGAATTTAATAATAAACTCTTATTATGAAATTTTTTTTTAAAAAAAATTATCATGAAATAAATTAAATGTCTTCACTAAAACGAGTCTCACTGTATTGCTTCTCTCAGGTGAAAATTTTCGATTAAAGAATAACCATGTCTATCCTTACGAGTTTTTATTTATTCTTATGGATCATCATTAGGGCATTACCCTAAATTTATGACGTAGTTATGATAGACATCTAACGTGAGGAAAATCATTTGACTATAAGCATCTTTATAATAAGAGATGAATTTTATGTGAGATGACTTTTAACAGTAAAGGAGATTGGTTTTAAGGTGGGAAGATGGGTTTGACGTGATAATTATATTAGGTTTATTATTCTTGGGGTTCAGTTTAATAAATGCGTCATATCGTTGACGAATATATCATGCAATAATTGTCGCAGATCATAATGAAAATGAAATGAGGGGTTTCTATTTGACCCTCTAAAACCCACTTATACTTGTTTATTATAAAACCTGCTTCTAAACCCTAATCCTAACCCTAAAAAAATGCTAAAAAAATGCACCCCAAAAATTTGTATTTTTCGGTGGCTTGTCTATTTTACACTATCTTTCATTTCATTTTAATCTGATTTCATTTTAATTTGCCACAATAATTAAATAGTAATTCGGGGTTTTTGGTTTTGGCCCAATTCCAAAAATGGGCCCGAATGTGAACAGGGCAAAATTTTCCTATTTGCTACACATTTTGGAGTGCTAATCCCGGAGTAACTACCAGTGAATATAAATAGATAATTTGGGTAATTATTTTCGAACATGAATCAAAATTTTTTTACGGTAGTATTTTTGAGTGCTGCCAAGAGAAAACTCGGAAATCTACTTGTAGGACAAAGTGCGGACTTTTAAAAATTTTACATGCGATCAAATAGAATATTCCAATTAGAGATGGGCAAAAATTTTATATATTCTTACATATTTTTACATCATTTAACATATTCTTACAAATTATAGTAAAATCAATACGCCAAGATAAAAAAAAGAATTCAAGTTTAATATTTTTTTTTAAATTTTTAGCAACAGATTTCAATTTATCGTATACAATTAATGATTAATTTAATGACTAAACATTATGGTTTTTTCTTGAATACTATGCGTAGCTTGAATAGAAGCTTCAATTACAACTTCATTATATATAATTTGATCATTAGTATTAAAATTACCAATGTTTTCAATTTTTAGCATTACATTTTCTTCACATATTTCTTCCAAATTATCATCATTATTTTCCATATAATCAAATTCATTAGTATTAGTTGTATTAGTTTGACGATTTTTGATTAAACCTATTTTCTTTATTTAAAACAAAATGATGTGAATTATTTGTTTCTTGTGCAATATGCTATCGAATGCATGTTATTTTTGTTGCACGTTCATTTATAAATTTGTTACGCTGTGGTGAATGGATATTTGCAATAAATGACCAGTATCTTTCGCTTTCAGCAGAAGTAGGTGGTATCAGCATAACTCGTTTAGCAAAAATAGCTAATTCCGGTACGATCAAGCTTTTTTATTTATAGTTTATTTGTATTCGATGATTCTTAAATTATTTAATATGTAATAATTTATAAAATATGTAAGGGTTAATTTTAGTTATCGCTTACATAATTATTACATTGCCCATCCCTAATTCCAATCAGAGACTATGATTTTCTGCGGTGATTAATTTCTGCAATTATTTCACAACAATAAATAGACCACTTTTATTCAGCTGATTTTCGTACGTACGTACGTACGTACGTATATCGTTTTCGTGTAATGTCACGTACTGTATAGACCAATAAAAATCAAATCAAATCAAAACATTTTCTTAGAAAGAGATTTCTGGGGGTTTTTTTGGTAACATTCATATATACTACTGCATCACCGTAAAACTTTTGGTTTATGTACGTAGAAATGCTAAATCCAAGTACATCACGAGATTACCCGATTTTTTAATAAAATCGATTAATATTAGGGTTGGGTTAGATTAGCCAGTTCATATAGTAAAATCGCATTTTCCATACTTTTACTTAGTGACCAAGATCCGGTTTAGGTAGTCGTTTTTTATATTTTTCGTGTTTTTGCCTTTGTTGTCTCGCTTTGCTTTGTTCGGGCATATATTGGATAATCCTGTGATATACCTACATAAACTAACCAATCAAATCGTAAAATTTTTACGAAGCAAAAAAAAAAAATACAAGAAATAGGTGCCTAAGCCTCTCTTGGGGCACTAATAAAATACCGGTAGTGCAATTTTACCTATACCCTTACTTAATCTCTAACATCTGAACAACTCTAACCCTAATTTTAATTGCATCGTTTTAGCACCCTTCAAATAAGGAAATTGAAAAATGGGTCGGTAAAATTGGTCCGAAAATAATTACTCATTTTAATTAGTTCCTGATAAATGTCACACATTGATGAAACTCAATTCGGAGTTTTTATACGACTTTTCATATAGTAGAATGCAATCCGCTTCGTTCCGAACAACATAATTAAATTTAAATGCTAAATTTAATACTTCACAAAAATATTATTGCTTAATATTACAAAAATTGCAATATATCGTAATTAAATTTAGAATTATAAAAGCAAAAGTTTATTACTGTAATTTAATAATAAGTGTTATTGAAATAATATATTCTATTTGATGTAATGCCTTTTATTGTACTTCCGTACAGTGATAAGATTACGGGTTAAAACCCATCACTACGTACGTACGTAGTTTAAATAATTATAAGATATTGGTCATGCAACGATTAATATCATGGCATGATCCAATATCGATGTTATCGTGCAATTATTATCATGATTTACGAGTCGGGGTTGACTAACTGAGTTTTAATTCGGGATTGTTGTGCTTACGTAATAACGTACAAAAATAACAAGAAAAAAAATTCTATGATCATAAGAGTTTGCACGATAACTTGTACATATGTTGCACGACTCTATCGGCCTTTAAGTAATACGAAATTATTAAATATACAAAAATATGATTAATTTTGATTTTTGGCTTTTATCGATATTCAAAATTATTTAATTAATTTACAACGCTATTCTGAACAAAGAAAAGTAAAAATTTTGTACATACCATGCATTTAGATTTCCTATTAAAGTCATATCGATAAATGCTGTGTCGGTATCTGTTTTCGTGCAACCGGATTAATCCTAAATCCGAACTCTATATCCCAACAATGTTTTGTTTTGCAGATCTTCCCTAATTGATCTATTGAATTCACTAGCAATTATATAACGGAATCTTTTAGTATAGTTATAAAAAAGTGTAGGGACTTGTTATAACAAAAACACTAATATTATGGAAAGTAAAATTTTGATAATAATCGCCACAGTTTTTTCATTTCATTTATTTTTCTTTTCCTAGTAAACTTAAGCACTTTATCAATAAAATCTTCGGATTCAATTACATATTTCATTACAATTGGAATATACGGAACTTGTGTGTCTGATTTAGAGGCCTGCAAATTAGTAATTTTAAAGGCCCGGCCCGGCCCGCATTTAATATTAAAATTTTTTTGCCGGCCCGGCCCGACCCACTTAATTATTTTGAAATTTAGGCCCGCCCGGCCTGCAAATATATAAATTTTAAAATTTTAAACCAATTTAATTTATAAATTATTAATTTTTTATAAATTAATTTAATTGGTAATTTACTAG